TAAGCAATGATCATCTGATGATTAGGACTGGGCCATAAATCGCAAACTATCGATTTAATATATACATCGCCATGGCTATATAGTTGCTGTAGTTTCTTGCAAGCATCGGAATTCTGATTTAAGCCGCCGATACAAGGTGATTGTGATTTAGCGATATAACATGCGAGAGGATCTCTGCGCCAGCTGACGCAGATAATTTTGATTTCATCTAGCTACGAAGATGTTGATTTTATCTTGAAAAGAAAACTATGATGGCTTCATGATGTTGAATAGTAAAGAGCGAATTGCATCAGAAGTCACGACTTTGTGCGAGGATCAGCGTTGAAAAGTAGAACACAATGCATAGTTTTTTTTGATGCACCCTTTTTCTTTGGGCTTTTACATTTCTTGAAGATTGTATAACTAACTCTCTAAAAAACAATTTCAAACGTACTCTTGGATAAAAAAATTTGATGACTAAAGCTGTTAGGTAAGAAAACAAATCTCATTAAAAGGAAGAGATAAAATAAACAATGCATTCTAAGCTGAACGAATTTTAAGTACTTTTAGCTTATAAAGTTACTGACAAGATTTTATGCAGAAGATTAAAGCAGATATCAGAATTATAACAAGAAGAAAACTGTAAACTTCTATGCTAGGAATAATTATATAGGTTACTGTGCGTGATAATACCTTTAATTAATAAAATAAATTTCATTTTATATTGAATATGGTGAATAAAAAATAAAAAGGCAGAAAAAAGAGCAGTAATTTAAAAAAAATAAAAATAATTCTCTAATAAATAATTCAAAATAATAATTAGAATAAATGATTCTCTAAAATAAATAATTCAAAAAATATTTAAATCGTTAATTTTAAATGTTTATTTTAATCAATCCACACTTCATATCTCCCTCCCAATTTCAAGAACCCCTTTCTTAAAGGTAAGGGCGCTTATTATATTTAAGTAGAACAACATTTCATCCCTCCCACATCTTTTGCTTTCCCAGATGTATTGTCTTGTTTCAATGGTCAGGTCCGGGTCACCCATGTGGGGATAGTGGTCATCGACAATGTCAACTTTCATCTATGAAAAGGTATCCCAACATAGACTCGATTTATCACGTCTTATATACTATTAAATTGGAATTGTATTTTGGTAGTGGTAGATACACTACAGTACTCCCCACCAGAATTATAGCTATGATAGAATTCGATGAACGGGTACCCCAAGTTGATTCATTGCTGTTTTGTGTGAAGCCGCTGTCGCACTTTCAAGTGCTGACCTTGAGAGCTGTATTAAGTTCACGGTTGTAGTCTCTCCTGTGTTAGCATTGGCAGTCGAGTGTATACAGGCCGATGTTGTGTGTGATAGAGACTGAGTAGCAACAGCATTAGGAAGTGGATAATGTCACAGTCACAACTCAACTGTTCAAAGCGGACCATCCGTCGAAGTAAGCGTGTTCAAATCGAAGTGGGAGTTTCTGTCAAGGTAGACGTGTTCGCACCTTGTCCGAAGGTCACTCATGTGGGGAGAGGAGTTATGAATAATGTCAACCTTCATCTATGAATAGATACCCCAACATAGAATCGAGTTAACATGTCTTATATACTAGTCTTGTCTTGTCGGTTGGTCGGGGTGCCCAAGGCCGAGATGGCTCTTTACCTCTTCATCATGAGATGAGGATCAATGAGGTGGAACACTGAGGTCAGGAGCATAGAGCTAAAGATGAGATGTATATACTAGTGAATTGTAATTTTGTTTTTGTAGTGGTAGATACACTATAGTCCCATAACAAATGATATTCTTATTACATTAAAAGGACCTGTTTAGACAGTTTATGAGACTATCAGAGTTTTACATCTATAGTTCACAAATCCCTGTGGCAGAATTTTTTTCGGTTTTCTGCTACAATATCTTTCTACTAGGTACTTTTAATACACATGTTACTAATTTCAAGTAACAGAAGCGTCAACTTCAAAAAAAAAAAAAAAAAAAAAAAAAAAAAAAAAAAAAAAGAATCTTTCGAATAAAATAAAAGAATTTTTCAAACTGAATACTATTTTTATTCTAATATTATGGGCAATATTCTCGCATTTTGTAAGAGGAAAACACATTAATTATTTCCTTTTTTTGCATTTTGTATATCTTATTAAAAAAAATTGTGATATCCGTAGCTAAAACTACAAAAAAAAAAAAAAGATCAACGGCGAAATCACACAAACCGGACTCTTCAAAAAGAGGTTACGAAATGCGTGTTTTCATTGTGAGATTCAGTAGTTGTAAAAAATTATATCGTATTAAAAATATTGGTTTTTAAAAACTATGTGAAAATTAATAGTAATAAATGCATAAAAATAGAATTCAGCAGAAAAGAAAACTAAATTGTTTACTTCATTATTCTCAAATGAGAATAAAAAAAATCATAAACACTCCCCCACCCACACTCAGATGCACGAGAAAGATATCTTTAAAATATAATTCTGAAGAAAGAATAAAATCTTTTAAAAATTTCTGCAAAAAAGAAAATTTTTTTAACTTTACAAGGGAAAAAATCTTTCTGCAAGAATTCGGTATTGTTCTGCGACAATGCCTCCACGAATCTGCCACGGGGTCAGAAATTATACCAATAGCTAAAAACTAATAATTTGGTGAATATTCCTCAAACATCACATTTGGTGCTGATGCATCAGTTGATAAAACTTCTTGCATTGCAGAAACTGGTAAAGTACAGACCCAATACCATTACTAACAATGTATATTTGCAATTGCTTTGAAACAATGAGGAATTTTCTGTATTCAATATAAACTTTCTATTGTTTGCAGTGAATGGTCCTAGGAGAAATGACTGATTGAGGTTCAACTAGAAAAAAAGTTGTTTCTTACCTGCAGCACAATGTGATTAGTGAATGTGTGTTTAATGCATCTAACAACAAATTCAGTCTCGGATTCAGTAAGTTCAATAGGAAGCGAAGATTTAAACAATGGACCCAAGTTCAATGAAGAGAGTTCCGGAACTGCTGACAATTGATCTGAAAATATCAAATTAAAAATATCAGAGATGATTTTAAATTAACTCTTATTTTGAAGAGCACTTACTTAACTAAGTGGAAGTAAGTCATTTTTTTATCAATTAAAATCCTTATTTGTGAGCATTTTTTATAACCGTCGTTGAATAGCCGACCCAATGTGTGTGGGCTTACGACTACTAATGTTCAACTACGTAACCTTGTAATTTTGAACCCAGTCCAGAAGACAAGGGAACTCCTGGATCAAGTATAGGGAGAAATTTGCCTTCGTGGACTTTTTGATGGAACTAACCCGCATTTGCTTTACATGGAGATGAAGACCACGAGAACTTACCACGGTTAGCCTGATGACAAGGGGACTCTAAACCATGATCCGTCTACCTTACCATTAAACTACAAATCCACATATTGCTAGTTTAAATGAACCGAAACCTTAATGTGACTTACTAAACCCCAGGGGTAGTACCGACAGTTAACTTTTGCCTTATCTAATGCTTTCAACCATACTTTTGTATTCAAGATTAATTTCATTTTAATAGAAATTGTACAGATGTGTACTTCATGTATAAGTGAAAAAAAAGACAAGCAGCATTTACATAAATTTAGTAACATCAGCTTGAAACAATATAGCATAAGTAGGTAACTGTTCACATTAGAAACCATTTTAGGAAACCATCTTTAAACTAAAAAATAATGCTTTTTCAAAATATAACACTGTATATTCAAATCTTTTTTCTCTAAACTATTGCTAATATAAATTTCAAAACTGTACCAGGGTTTCCACTCAAATCTGGGAAAAAAAATTCCCTGTGCATATTGCAGGGTGCGTAGCCAAATCTCCCAACAAAAAATAAGCATCTTAAAAGTACTTTTTTTAAGCACTCAAAAAATATTTTTAAGCACTATATGCAAAAGAATTTTCAAAGACTTTACATGATCATAATAACTAGTTTCTGACAAAGAACTCTTTTCTTGATTATATTAGCCACTATAAAAAGATTGAGAGGTTTTTCAGTTCATCACAGGGTGGAAAATGACGCCTGAAATTAAGATTATCTTGAGAAAATGCAGCAGAGTTGTACATGAGAGTGCAAGAATCTCAACTAATTCAGCTCAGTAGACGCACATGCAGACCCCCAAGTATTTCATCAAATATGTCACCATGATGGGTGCTATTATACGCTACGGACAAACAGCATGCCGAAACGAATTGTGGCTGAATGAATTGTGAAAACGTTGAATAGAACAATGTTAAAACCACGCTTTTACATAATACGCAGCGAAAAACAACATGGTAAAGAAGAAAAAATCTTCGAGAAGTGAAAGTTAAGCACTTTTTAAAATTACCTCATGAAAAAAGCAGTTTTAATTGCTTTTAAAAAAACGAAAATCTTAAATAAGCACCTTTAAGAACTTTTAAAAAACGCTATGCACTATGCATTATAGACAATATCATAAAAGGAAACGCAATTACTGTGTTCTTGTGTGAGCTATATTAGTCTAACTATGCTAGTTTTAATTGCTGGAAAAACTTAGAGAAAAAAAAGGAACAGATGAACATATTTAAATAATGCTATAGTAAATGAAATAGTTTAGTATAGTTGGAATATCATCCTATCTCACAGATTATGCATTGAGTGGGTCACCATTTTGTCAGAGACGAAAAGAAACTAACTTCCCTGTATTTTCCAAAATTGTAGAGAAAAAAAAAATCAAAATTCCCTGTTATTTCAGGTGATTTTAAAATTCCCTGTATTTCCCCTGTGAAGTGGAAACCCTGGACAATTAGGAAACTGTACATATTTACTATTTGGAAACAATCTCTGGCATAGTTGATTTTAGACTGAAAAATTAAGCTTTTTTAAAACATCACTTCATACCTACTTTCACTAAACTATTGCAAATATAAATTTCAAAGCTTTATTTATAAACTAAATAAAGAAAAGAGATGTACAGTCCGCAAAAAAAAAAAAGATATNTTTTGCTTCTGATTTAAGATATTAAAATAGTAGGTTGCTCTGTCTCTCACTTCATCATCACAATCAAGAAGACTCCTCTGCAGAAGTACTAAAATATGTGGGAAAAGCTCATCACAGTGAGAGCCAAACTAAGCCAAGGAACTGACAGCAGCTGCAAAATAAATGCATATACTTTCAAAACAATGAATCATATGAATGTAATACATACCTGACAACACTGAACAAATAAAATAACAGAGATTTTACTATCGACATTTATCAGGCTACGAGTAAAGTTTTGATGCATCATGCATAATCATGTAAGTCAAAAAGAGAGATTCAAAATTGAAAATAATATAAGAACTTACATTTAGCAAAATAATATGTATATAAATCTTAATCTAAAGATGATTTTTTAAACCATTATTTATAAATTATCTTATAACCGTTGTTAAACAGCCAATCCAATTTTAGGTCTACGGCTTCTAATGTTCAACTCTGTATCCTTGTCATTTTGAACCCAATCTTGAAGACAAGGGAACTCTTGGATCAATCAAGAACAGGGCAAAATTTGCCTTCGTGGAGAACTTTTTGAAGGAACTAACCCGTCTTTGCAGTAGATGGCGGTGAAAACCACGAAAACGTCCAACAATTAGCCTAACTACAAGGAATACTTAAACTATTAACACTCAACGTACTGCAGTGCTAGCAATAGCACTATCTGTTGAAGAATAAGAGAAGTATTTTTGTCATCAGCGGTTATTTTATTGGGTAAATTTTTCTTTAAATAACTTTCTTGAAAAAATACAGAGAAATTTTAGAATATATGGGTTGACAGGTGATAGTCGTAAAATACAGGAGTAAAGCAAACAATTGGCAGGTATGGTAATAATAAAATTCGAAAATATCGTTATGCTTCACAAGAGATATGGGGCAGTGAGAACAAAGTATACAATTATTAAATAAGGTTTTTCAAAGTTTTTTTTTCATTTCAAAAAGTTTATAAAAGTAATTTTATGTTAAAGTTATAAATATTATTATGCTTCAATGTACATGGAATATCTTAACCTGGCTACCATGCTCATAAATTAAACGAATTCTTGAATATTTCTTTTCTTCTTCAAATTATGTGTCATGTAAATAAATGTCTTCATTGCTCCATTTTGCTACTCAATGTTGCCATATTTATACTAAATTTCAATAAACACCCATCCACACAAACAAAAAAAAAATTCTATGTTTTTCATACACCTAATATTTATATATTTTTAAGGACCAGTAAGCATTTATGTATGTGAATGTTGCATTTACATTAAAAACTTTGAAAAAGAAACAAAATGCATAAAACACAGGAAAATGAAGAAAGAAAAAATTGCATTATAAAAGAACTAATGTTGTCAACATTTAAATCTTTAATAACAATGTCTAACATATGTTGTGTTAGACAGTAATGTGATGGTTAGTTATTAAACACTTTATTCCATGATGATCTACTCTTATTACTGGCACTCATTATTTTGGTACTTTTTAATTCGTAAATAGACTAAAGACAAATCTCCCTCACACTAGCAAAACACTGTTTGATAGGTTGACCATGGAGCCAAAGAATAGATGCTGTCTATTTTTCCAGAAGTCAATGAGTGCAGCAGTTTGCCAAACCAATGAGCTGAGACAGTGCAAACTACAAACTAGGTTGGAGAATAAAAATAGCAGTTACTGCAGGTTCAAAAAATGTTCCTCTATTTATGTTTTAGTGCAATTTTTATTTGTAAAGTAAAAACCAATTTAAATTTTTTTTTGTTGTTACATTTAATAGACTATATTACTTATATTTCTAATAAATGAGTCAAACTTAAAAGATATGCTAAATCAATCTTTTATTATTCCTAATTAAATTTAGTTTAATTTCTTAATGTTTATTTCACAGGTTAAAATAAAATTAGTTTTTCTTCTTGATTTCGTGTTTAACAAATTATAAATTAAAATGATAATTAAATTTAATTACGTTTAAGGAAAACTTTCTACAGAACCCAGTAGTAGAGAACCTCCAGCAGATGATTTTTCATCTTAGATTTCTCAAAATTTTTAAAAAGTAAATCGAGATTACTCCTTTTTAAAAAGATTACTTAATTTGAATAAAGAGCTGAATGGAGAGAATACCACAAAGAGCAACCACTAAAGATTGTTTTAGCTAGAATTTTAAATTGATTAAATAAAAAATAACAAAAATTTTGAAATCACACAAATTTAAAAGATAATTCGCTCTAGAAATGATGTTTTTTCTTTCATTTTTTGAAAGAACACCATAATTTTTAAAGAACAGGATAAAAACATTTTATATTTTAATAAAATATAACTATGAATGGGGATTTTGTTGCAAATTTTAACGGTTCGGGACTTCGTGAAATTGGAGGGGGAGGGCTGTAAATTCCCTTTTAAAAATTAGACTTTTCGGCAACCTAAATCCATTATTATTTTTTTTTAAAAAATAGTTAAAATCATGACATTTCAGGACAAATTTTGTTCAATACTGAAATCCATGATTTTCAAGACTTTCCAGGTGCGCAGATACCCTGCTTAGAATAGCTTCCGATATTGGACTGAGATTGAAGTGTTCAAGCATTTCTATCTAGGTCCCTTATAGGCTTATAATGTTGGTTAAATATTGGAGTGTTTATACTTTTTAATATTGGTCCTAGATAGAAAGGAATCTTGTTCCAATAATGGAAGTCCTTCTAGGACCAATACTTAAAAATCCAGACATCCCAATGTTAAACCAAACCTCGGTGCATGTTCTTATTGAAGCAAATTTTAGCCCAATTCTGAAGTGCAAAAGAAAAAAAAATCAAAGTTGAGTTATATTTGGCATCTTCGCATGATACGGTACATATTGCAACGAAATATTTTCAAAAATAAATTTTGTTTTTATCAATTTTCGAAAATTCTATTTTAGCGTTTATAGCAATAGCAATAAAAAGAAAAATAGTTGCGAAGCCACTTTTTACGTTTTCTCAAATGTACTGAAAAACTGGGGCCAAAGTAAAACTGATGCTTGAGTAGCGTTTTGGCCATTACTTTTTATTGGCGAGGCGGCTAACCAAAGATTTTGGAGCAATATTTTTTTTAAAATATTTTTTTACTTTTTATTTTTTTATTTTTACAAAAACTAACGTTTTTGAAATGAAAGTTTTTGATGCTAAGTATAGGGTCACTGTTATGGGATACTAAAAGAAAACAAAATTTTTTTAATACTAAATAGATAAAACTTTTTTGAAAAAAAAACGCGCTGGAAAGCAGTAGATATTTCAAAAAAAGTAGCAATAAAGGAAATAAAATAATAAAAAGACCACTGAAGCCGACGTCTTCAGGGGGTACCGGCCCCGGTAGCCATAAAACATTAGTTTTTAGTGTTTCCTTTTCATTCGGCTTGCTTGTGAAATCGATGTTTGACCTGGTTAAGTGAGTTTTTATTTTCTGATGATTTTGTTTGAGTTTCTTTTCTAAATTGGTTATTTGTATTTCATGTTTTATACTGGACTTCTATACAAAACCATCGGAGTATTGAGGGAGTTGAGAATTTAGGCATTTGCTTTTCCCTCAATTAGAAATGGTTCTGTTTTATGGCTACCGGGGCCGGTACCCCCTGAAGACGTCGGCTTCGGTGGTCATATTTTTATTTTTATTTCCTTCGTTTCCTTACTGTTATGCGCTAACTCTGCGTTGTTAAATTTGAAATTTCTCTTGAAAAGTCTTGGATTTTTAGTTAACTAAAAAAATTTATTAAGAAACTGTTTTCGCCGCTCTCTTTAATTGAGTTATTTTATTTTATAACTATCGAGGAACAGTCGACCCAGTTTTAGGGCTTACGACTACTAATGTTCATCTCCGTAGCCTTGAAATTTTGAATCAATCCAGAAGACAAGGAAACTCCTGGATCAGTAACCCCAGAGGTATTGATTTGCTATGGAAACATGGAGGACTTGGAGACTCAACAGATTTAACGGGCATCAGTCACCATTTACTACACGGGGAGTCTTCGGTCCGTGGAGACCGAACTCTAGACCACTTAGATATGGGTCCAGTGCCCTACCAGCAAAGCTATCCAGGCCTTTTAGTTGAGTTAATATTTTTTTAATACCTAACTTTTTATAGGTGGGGGTAGGTAACAAAAAGTTTCATTAATTATTTCCTACGATAGGCTAATTTTTGAAAGCTAAGTCCAATTTCCTGTTCAATTTCATGGTCAGAAATCAGCTGAACTTGTTTTTGGTCATAATTATATTTAGTGTCTGGGGTGCTAATTTTTTTAGCGTTTATTATAAAATCATTATTAATAATTTCAGTTTATGTATATGTGTGACCTATTGCTAATTCGTAATAAACATTGCTGAAAGTAAATAACGTTCATTATTCATTGATAAAGATCTTAAAATCATTTAACCATTTTCAACTTCAGATTATGCATCGAAGAATTGATGAAAATTAAAAAAGTCATCGGTGAAAAATATTTAAATTTTGTTATTTGTACACGCAAAATAATTGCTAAAATTTAAAAAAAAATCAGTTTTGAAAAGTAAAATTTTTTTGCTCATTGGAAATGCTTTATACACTTATTTTACATTCTAATTTCTATCATAATTCTACTAAATGTTTAGTAACAAAATAAAAATCTGTATTGTTTAAGTATAAAAAATAAATTATTTCTTACTTTCGTGTTTCATATTACTACTTTCTTTAAAATTTAGCAATGACGCAGAATTTTTATTAAACACATTTTTCATAAAATTTTGTATTAATTTAGATCAAAATGAGTGAAAATATCATATTTAGCATTTTAACAATTTATGGTTATAAAATACAGCATGAAATGCCGGATGGCTCATGTCCAAACAATTTTTAAAATTTTCCTTTCTTCGCAGTTATTTAGATCGAAGAGAAACAGTTATTCATCATTGAAATATAATTTTAAAATCAATTTTTAATAAATTTTTGAATATCAAGGATAAAAATTTTTGAACTACTTTTTTAGATTGTATTTTTTAGCATAAATATAATTCCGATAAAGTAAGAGATGTTTTTAGTAACCATTAGACTGATGTTATAATTAAAAAAATACCAAAATATATTTTTACTTGTAATTAGATTGTCAGAAAAAAATGTATAAAAGGGAAACCGATGTTCTATCTGAGTCAAATGGTTAAACTTGATTGATTTTTTTTTACAGCAAATTTTATTTCAGTTGATTTTAAAAATTAAAATAAAGAGTCAGATTCTAAGATTTTTACACTTAAGATCCCTCATTAGATTAATGATCGCTGTTTTTTAGTAATTAGTATACGCTTTTCAATAATTTAACGCGCACGCGAGGGTGTTTTTCAAAATATTAATTCAATTATCTTCAGCAATTTTCTATAGGTTATATCACTCCAGAAATTTTTCATTAAATATAAAAAAAATGTGTTCAACAAAATTAAAGTTAATTGGAGCAGTAGTTTCAGAGAAAATGTTTGTGTTGCAGTTAACTGTTTTGAGAAGAAAAGAAAGCTAGTAAAAGAAACACGTATCAAAAGTTGACTAATGGCATCAAAATCTTTTAAAAAACCATAAAAAAATATTTCCATTGCAAGTAGAACAAAACTAAAATATTTTTAGAACCATGATTGATAAATAAAAGTTACGTGGACATCTTAATTTATGAAACAAGAGAAAAAATTTCTTACCAGAATTATGTTACTCCACATTAGACAGCATTTACACCCTAACATCCCTGTCCAAAAATTAAGGGCCACGAATTGTCCTGCGTAAATTGAAAAGATAACAAAAAGCATAAGCAAAGTTTTATTAAGCATTTCAATTCACAAAATGAAATAAAAATTTATCAATATTTTCACAATACTTTTAATTAAAATAACGAATATGTGCATGGTGCAAAAGAAACATGTGAGTAGCATAGAAGAGGTGGCATAAGTTTTTACTGCGTTTTTATAAGACTTGAGATTACTTATTTCTATAAGATATACACTGAACAATAAAAATGAATTAAAAATCATTAAACTTAAGTATTGCTTTTTCTTTCCCTCACAATGCATGCATGCGATTTACTATTTAATAGGTAAAGACAAGATGACTGACATGTTTGTATAAATTTTCTTTTTGTGTAAATTTCCAGTTTTCTATGTGTGATTTGTTCTCTTGTTTATTAGATCAAGGTTGGTAGCCAAATCTTTCACCAAAAATAAACACTTTTTAAATACTTTGTAAACACTAGAAATCTTTTTTCAAGCACTAAAAATATTTACAAAATGCAAACTAGTTATCAAAGACTTTTCATGATCATGATAAAATAACTAGTTACTGACAAAGAACGCTTTTCTTGATTTCATTATCCATCATAAAAAAATCGAGAGATTTTTCGGTTTCGATTTCAGAGGGTGGAAAATGAAACCTGAAATTGAGAATATCATGCAAATTGCAGCAGAGTTCCACATGAGAGTGCAAGAATCTCACCAAATCCAGTTCAGTAATCGTACGTGCAGACCCGCAAGAATTTCATCAAACATGCAAAAGGATTGACGCTTTTAAATGAATTGTGAAAACGTTGAATGGAACAATGTGGAAAGCATGCTTTTGAATAATACGTGGCGAAAATCGACATGGTCAAGAAAAAAGTCTCATTTTCGAAAAGGGAAAATTAAGCACTTTCTAAAAACACCCAAAACAAAAAGCACCTTTTAGGGCTTTTGGAAAACAAAAATTAAAAATTTACACCTTTAAGCACTTTTTAAAAACGCTACGCACCACGTAGATTAAAAATTCGCTACATTTTGTTGTGATCTTAACTTATGTCTGTATGATGATCGAGGAAAATTTTTAGAGCAATCACGATTTTCTTCGAAGGGCTAAAGTTACTGCTTCCGCGGAAGATTTAAAGGGTTACCGAGACTTTAAACTTTATAACATTTTTGAAACCCACAATTATATTTAGGTACATTAATCATTATTTATTTAATCATTATTTACATCATCATTATCACAATCATTATTTACTTAATATTTCGGATGTCTTTACTGAATTATTTAAAGTAAATTGACAGAAGAAAAAGCACATACTTATGAAAAAATAAATACAAACAATAAATACATTTCTGTATTGATGGACTTACAGAAATTTGCATTAGTATTTCCCATTACGATCTTCAAATCAAAACTAAATTCGTTAATAAAGAAATGTGCTTCCCTAACAACTAATTTCAATAAGTTCTTTTTAGTTTTCATTTCAACGGCCTATTTCATTCATTTTTAGCTTATGACTGAAAACAAATCTATGCCTAGATTAGATTCCGCTTGCTAATTCAACAGTCGGATATCAAACCTAATTTAAGATACGAAAAAATTTCATTCCTACTATTAAATATTTCGAAAATGAAATAGCCCGTTATAGGTTCATAAATTTATAATTGTCTTTTAGTAGTTTTTTATAATTGGTAGTCCTTCATATTAGTAATGCTTTTAATAATTAGTTTGTATATTCACCTAATGAACTTAATTTATGAAATCGGGGTTCCACAGAAGGAAGTTTGATTATTAAGGGTTCCACAAACGAAAAAAAAATTGTGACCTGCTAGGATAACGTATAAATTCAAATGTTACTTCAAATAAAAACTACTAGTTAACCAAAATAATAAATTTTTCAGAAGTTGGATACAGGATGTTTTGGGTCGTAACCTTTTTGGCGTTTGCAATAACAAAAATTTTTTCACAGGCTGACAATTGCTCACTAGATGTTAATGTTCAGAGAAAAATTAAAACATGTGGTTGTTTGGTCGGTTAATGGACTAAGACATATTTTTATTCATATTTAACAAATAGATTTGTTGTTTCACAATAAGGAGGTTAGATAATAATAACAGCAGCCCTGTACTTTATCCTTAAGGAGCCTACCAGTTGACAGCTGCGGCCAGAAGTTTTATTTGAAGAGAAAAATTATAAGGAGGTTAAACTCAAACCTTTCTTTCTAGATCATAAATATGTTAAAACTTGTTTTAGACCGAACTTTTTGTCGTGTGGTCTAACAATTTCCCACATTGCGCCTACGTTTGTGGCCTATTGTTTTCTTGGTCAGTGAAAATGTGTTTTGAATCTAACCCTTTTTTTTTAATGTGGGTAAAATTTTTGTTGGATTTAAGTATTTTCGAGATCTGACGAAATATGCAAAGAGTGAAATTAGCATTAATGAAATCATAATTTTGAAGAAAACTTTCATAAAAAGTTTTTATTGTCTTAATAAAAAAAATTGAATAAAATTAAGTGTACATGGCATGTAGAGTGCGAAAAATTAAAAAGAGTCTACCCTTAAATAACTTTTGATCTAATCATCGATTTTAATGTGCTAAAACCAGAGTGCGTAGCCAAATTCAACAAAAAAAAAGCAGCTTTTAAGTGCTCAAAAAATATTTGTGAGCACTTTAAAAAATATCATAATTAGAATATGAGCACTAATAAAAATTTTCTCTTCCTATTGTTGGAAGTTCCTCTTATATGCATTAACAAAATGCAAAATAATTTTCAAGAACTTCATGTGATCATGATTAAATAGTTAGTTTCTAACAAAGAACTCTTTTCTTAATTGCATTTGCCACCATAAAAAAACTAATACACAATTTTAAGCATATTTAATATTGAGCGACCCATTATATTTCTTAAATCAATACAAATTACTTTATTAAGGTAAAGAAATTTATTCAAAATTATAATTAATTTAACTATTATTTATAAAGGTTCACAAGTGTATTTCTTAGATTTAAATGAAAGTTATTTATAAAAGCATATTCAACAAAACATTGACAAGATTATGTTATTGATTATATCGAATTTATAGAGATATGTAAAGAATTAAGCAAATTAAGAAAATTTAAATAAATTAGTATTACAAATGTAGATTAGTAAATGACCCCTAATAATTTTTATTGTTTAAATGTTTTTAGGAGTAAATTATTATATGACCCCTAAATTCATAATATTTAACAAACTTGAGATGATTGAACTTTTTTATCTCAATTGTTTTTAAATAAAATCATGAAGAATTTAGAGTTTTTTGGAGTAACATAAGATTTTTTGCTGCATTTAAAATAGCGAAAGCCACTAACTTCATACTTTTTTAATTGATTGATTTATTGATTGAATGTAGGGTTTAATTGCACAAAGTCTAAATAAGGACATGCTGCGAAAAACAATCCATACTTTTTTAAGTCTTGCCTTTAAGTATTATTGAGTTTTTCATAAAACAAATCAAGAGCACTGAAAATTTTAAAAGTATTAATACAACAACAAAAAGTAATAGAAAAATTAATTAAAAACAAGAATTTTTTTTTTTAAATGTGGTAAATTATAGGTGGATGGTCCCTTAGATAAAAATATTGCTATTAAAAATCTCTATCAATTTTTATCTTTATTAAATTAAGGAATAAATGCGAGACGGAAATTTAAGAGGCAATAAAGTTTTTCAATTCTTGATTGCTCTGGGGATAAACATCAAAATACGTAATTAGTGAATGATCCCCATGTCAAATTCAAAGATTATGGTACTAATCTATACATAATGAGAGAGAGAGGGCCATTTAGCTTGCTAATGAGGAAGACGACAGCACTTCATCAACGATGAAATTAACATGAGAAAAAATGTTTTCCTTTGCTATTAGGAAAAAAATTGGCTATGTTTAGTTAATCCCAATGATCAGCAAAAATGAGAGAATTTTTCGATTCAATTTCAGAGGGCGGCAAATGAAGTCTGAAAATTCTGAAATTGAGAATCTCTTGCAAAAGGCAATATTTAATCAAACGTGTAAAATGATTGGCAGACCGACGGTAAGCCGAAATGGATCGTAGTCGAACGAATTGCGTAAACGTTAAATGTTATAATTATACAACAGTCGTTGAACAGCCTACCCAATTTTGGTTTTATGACTACTAATGTTCAACTCAGTAGCCTTATAAATTTAAGCCCAATCCAGAAGACAAATAAACTTCTGGATCAGTATCTCTAGAGGTATGATTTGTTATGGGAACATGGAGGTCCTTGTGGCCCGGCATATTTAACGTATAGTAGTAACCATTTACTATACGGGGAGTACCAGGCTATCCTGACCAGTGTAAACACCGGGAAAGCCTGGTCGGTAGGGTGCTGGACCGATGTCCAAGAGGTCGCGGGTTCAATCCTTGCCAGCTGAAGAATGAATTAGTGAAAATGGTAGAAAATGGTGACTGATGCACGTTAAATATGTCGAGTCTTAAAGTCCTCCATGTTCCCATAACAAATCCATACCTCTGGGGGGTACCGATCCAGGAGTTCACTTGTCTTCTGAATTGCGCTCAAAATTACAAGGCTACGGCTGTTCAACGATGGGTTCAAAATAAAATAAAATGACGAGTCGTGATTGCTCAGGAGATAGAGCGTTCGTCGTTCAATAATGCGAACCCAGGGGGATACGAATTCCGCATCCGGCATGCACCAACCACAGTGCTGGCGTGAAATATCCTCAGTGGTACACGGATCATGGGTTAGAGTCCCCTTGCCATCAGGCTAACCATGCGAGGTACTCGCGGTCTTCCTCTCCGTGTAACGCAACTGCGGGTTAGCTCGAAGCCTCCGAGATAGGGTGTTCCAGCCGAAATATTGTTTCTACTCTCTAGTTGTGACGTTACTCTCTGGGGGTTAAATTTTAAGTAGACGAAGGACAAGGTCGAAAAGAAAGACAGCGAACTGAGGTAGCCATTTAAACCGATTGGAAGCGACGTATT